CGCTGTGTTCTTCAATCACCGAGAAGTCTTGGCCTGTGTTCTTACGTCCGTCTCGAGTCTCGAGTCTCGAGTCCCGATTGGTGTTTTGACCGGGGATTGAGAGGACCAATGGCACGTCTGGGCCCCCAACCCACCTGGGTCTAAGACATCGAATGGGGTGCGCCATCGAACCTCTGAAACCACTGTGCCGAGAAGTGCACACGAGAACCGAGGCATGGCTTCATCCATCCAAAGCCGCTTGGCGACGGGCAGTCCGAGGACGAGCTTTCGTCGACCCGTTCCCGTGGGTCGGTTCTGGTCAACGGGTCGAGAATCTGTGTGAACAATCAAGAGCCTTTAGGTAAGCTCTAGAACTACCTCATACTTCTTGACATGGTATCAGATTTCTAGATACGGTGATTTCAGATCTCTTGTAAAAAGAGGTGCAAATGGCTCGGTCCATCCCAGAAGGTGCCTCTCGGCACTGCTTGACCCAACTTCCTCTCTCACAGCCGCGACACCGACCGGACGCCGACCGGGTACGCGTTCTCCCGCGTCTCCGGCAGCGGCGACTGGGACGACTAAGGAGTGGACGTCGGCTGAACCATGTGAAGCCAAAGGCAAAAGCCAAGACCAAGACACGGCGACGATGACACGATGAGATTGATGAACAGCCTGGGTCATGGACCTGATGAAATCTGATGAACACTCTTGTTCTATAGAGTCTATAGGGTCGACGAATGACAGAACCTGACTTTCTCTTCAGAACTGGGCATCCCAATGCTTGGAATTCTGTCGTGTCTCGGTCGAGGTGGAGCGTTATTTGGGGAAGCAGGTTTGGCAAGGAGTGGAGCGACGGCTTTCTCTGTGTTCAATGACGTGTTTTCTTTTCAATTTGACACTGCCTCTATTTGCCTTTGCTAAAAATTCCAGAAATCTTGACATCACCTTGACATCGATCCATAATTACATGGGTTGATGATCATCCCGTACCATCCCGACAAGCAAAACATGCCGAGAAGGAACATCGGCCAGAATGGCCCGGAGAAGCTGGATTCATTTGGGGTGGGGTGGTTGATTCCAGCTCATCCGTGAAAATTATTTACCAAAACAGATCCATGCAGGCGGACGCAAAGACATCAAGCTCAAATGGAATATACTAAAGCAGATGCCTGAATTGCTGTGGCGCATTCAGACGGGTGCGCGCATTCACCAGAGCCACTCGAAACCACCCAAAACGGCCACATCTTGCCATAAAGGATTTGATGGGACAAATGGGAAGACCATGGAAGATTTACATTTAGGGTATCGTTTTTTTGACCCGTGAAAGGCCTGCGGGTGATTTGATGGATGGCATTCCTTCTCCCAAAGCCAAATCTGCAAGCTGCCTGTGGCCTTTGTTTTGGTGGCGATTTGAGATTGGTGCTCATTTTTTTTGATCGTTATTTCTTTTGGTCATAGACATTCTGTCCATGTCTATGGTGGTCCCCTTGCGAATTCCCGGCCCCGGCTACAAGATCTTCTTGAAAGGTCCAAGTCGATCTTCATCCGCCCACAGACATGTCCACCGCAGATCACCTCACATGGCCGAATCCGTGTCGAATCCCTCGGCGGCGACTCTTGGTGACCACAATGCAAGTGAAGCTCCAAGTTAAGCAAAAGGTTTCAGCTTTTTTGATTTGAGCGGACCCTGAGATGAACAAACGTTGTTGTGCATTGTTGGCTTTTAAATGTTCAACTAACAACTGTAGCTGCAGGAAAGGCTGTATGTAGTTGTAGTTGTTGACTTTTTCATGTGTTTTTGGGATCCCAAACAAGTGACCAGCTGGATGGACCTGCGTCGATGACATGAACTCCACAAGTTCAGTCAACCTGCGACAGCTTGTGATAGAGAGGCAGGCGACTCTTGTCTGTTTACAAGATCTCCAAAAACGGGATGGGAGAGGGACGACCCAATTCCTCTCTCCAATGTTTTCGGAGAGGGACTTTACCTCTTCTTCGAAGAGTCTATGATCCTTGTTTTTTAGGGGATGAAGACTCCGGTCACAACTGGCACGAACGGACGAAGAAGACGAGCGAGCCACCATATGTGAGAGCCAAATAGGGCGGCGCTAGCACGAATGATGGCTGTCAAGGTTCATGTAATAAATGAGTTCTCGTGGCAAAGCTGAAGAGATCCTACTTCCAAGGATGAAATTGACAGTCCCTCCGAAGAAGGATTAACATGCACACACGGAGGACACACACACACAACTTCCCAACATGGATCCCAACGTCGATTTATTTTTGTTTGGAGATTGATCCTCAGTTGTCAGTCCATCAAGTTCTTGCGTGATCCTGCTCCCACAGCTCTCATGTATATATATTCTCATGTTGAGAGTTCTGCAAAACCTCGCGCCACAGTTGATTCACCCCATTGGGTCAAAAGCCATCAGTGGATGAACATTCATGGGTAGATTTGCGGGATCTTAAAGGTGTTCCTGGATTATGAATGTCATGAAGCGTCGAACCAAATCAGCTTTGACACTGACAGCCGAAGGGGTGTTCTCTCTTTGCTTGGCTTCAGAGGAAGCGCACCAGCAAATCAATAATTACTTCTCTTTGGCGGTCAAGTGCATGTGCTCAAGCTATTGAACCCTATTTGAAGACGTTTCTGTTCTTGTGAACAAGAATACAAGCGGTGACTTGTGTTGAGCAATTTCTTCTTCACAACATCTATGCAAGAACCAAGCTCTTGTCCCCCTTCCCCATAATCCCCAACACATGCGCACATGGAGTGTTTTTGAGCGCAGTGGCATGTGTAGACTCGTAGACCAGCGTTCTCCTCGCTGAGAGAAGACTCCAGAGGCTGCCTGCGTTCTCTACAAATGAGGGTGTGGCATCTTTGAGGTCCTTAGCCCCACATGCGGGAGGTTGTGCTGTCAGCTTCGAGGATCCGTGGTGGCATGAAGTTTGGCCAACATATGCCAACATGCTCATGTCAAAGACAACCAAGTCGCATTATTCATTGTGCTTATATCGTTTGCGCATGATTGCACTTTGACCAGGCCATGAAAAGCCCCTTCAAGATGGTGTGATCGAGGGTCGGCTTGCTGTAGACCCACACACCCTGCCCTAACGCTCTTGAGGGGAACCCACGCATTTCGGGTTTGGGGACAGGATCTGTCGGGCCGTTGGGCTAGACGTGGATTCCTCCATGAGACTGCTCTCATAGTCATACACTTGCGACATTCCGGGCAGAAGTGTTCTGCCCGGTCATAGCCTTTATTCCATGTTATTCCCACTTTAGGATGGGCAGATTCTCCTACAAGAAGCCAGTAGATTGACACATCAAGCGAGTCATAATTGTTGGCACGTCAGACTTTGAGCTGGTCCATACGAAACATTGTGACACTTTGGCAAGAATCTTGATCCCAAATGTGTGGCAGACAGTAGTGGGGCTGGGACCGTTGCCGGCGAACGGTCACGCTGTCGTGCTTTGCGATGGGCTTTCTTTCCGTTTGTGACTTCTCCCCACCTGTCCGGGAAACCAGAAATGTGTCATGCCTGAGCCAGTCTTACCTATTACTATGATTCTATGATCATGAAAATCAACATACTTTATTGTATACTGTAAAGTAATGTAAAGTATATCTATATTGAACTATATATAACTATATAATATTATATAATAATGTATAATATTTATTCTACAATGAATTGTTGAGGGGACACATATGAATTTGCACTATGTCCCCCGACCCACGTTGTTGCTATGCCTATAAAGTTATATAAACACATGCAGCTATAAGAGCATTATGGTGGACTAAAAGACAAGCTTTCGACTTGACATCTCCGAAAGAGCCCAAATTCATGCACGGAACAAGGTCTGAAAGGGCATTTGATAGATAGTTGGCTGTTTGGCTGTGTGTTTGTCCACATTCAGGCCTGAAGACTGGTGAAGTCCCAAAAGAGGAGGAATTACAATGAATCGCATGCCATCGTGCGAAGATTCTTCCTGTGTACGATCCAGGAACAGCTACTTTCAGGACCAGATGTAACAGACCTTGGTATATAATTTATATTCGCAGGCTCGGCGTGCCGATACCAAACGCCCAAAAAGGGGATTGTGCTTGGCGTGGAGTTGGTGCGGAGGGAATGGCAGTGTTCAGTCTGGAGGTTAGATCATTGTACATATCCCTTGTACATCCTTGTACGATCTTGTACGGTTGAATAGGCTAAAAAGATGTAAACATGTTGTGCTGTGAAACATCAGTAATGCAGTGGCTCGAGGACAAAAAGTCTACTTCACAACTTTACACTACATGCAGCTAATGCAGAGACCTTGGAATGCAGTTCTTCAACGAGTTGTTTATAGCCGACCATCGAACCTTGTAAAGACACCAAAAAATGGGCACAGATCCCACACATTGTTCCAAGCATTCAATGCTAAGTAGAACACGCAAGGACAATGGGGGTTCGGAACAACTTGGAGCGTAGGTTTATAGTTGGAGACTTAGAATCATGGCTTGCTGTATGTGACCGCGCTGCCCACTCCGCTTTAGGCCAGTTTTGTTCTGCACCGTGTGTGTCGAGTCGAGTTTCAAGAAGCAAAGCATTCAGCATTCATGTTGACACCAACTCTTTGCGTTTGCAGCTGAGAAGCTCTTGGCTCGAGCATGCCACAAAGCCTGACATAGCCTGACAGCATTGGACTGAAGAGTGACCACTGGACGGACAGATTTGCAGCGCCTCCAATGGAGTTCTAGACAAAATAGCGACTGGACGGCATTGGCTTGCCTTGAGATGGACCCGCCCCAGATCTTTTTTGGCTACTTTGTTCTTGCCAGATTTTCCACAATCTGGATAGTTCAGACTCAGACCCTGTACCGAGAAGTTAGCCCACAAATATAGTTGCGGCCATCTTTGCGCACTGTGCGCTCAAACTACACCTGCATCCCGAGGGCAGACTTTCACAACTGAACTGACAACTACCCGAACCACCTACGGAAGAGCCAAGTTCAGCTAGGTCTACTCAAGAGGTTCAGTTGTATTGCCCCGCAAGCTTCACAAATGATGCTTTCTTGACGTGACTTGCAGAAGTTCGTGCTTCAGGCTGGTCTATTTTCATTGTGTGCCAGAATTCATGCTAGTTATGGATCCCAAGGTCACCTTTCTTGTTGTGGAGGAAAAGAGTCCAATAATTATCCTTGAAGGCTCCATTGCTGTGTCTTCTGCAGGTTACTGTTTAGGAGGAGCCCGTTATATATCCATATGTTCCCCTGGCCAAACAGGGAACTGTTCTTTTCACGACGTTGCCATTTAACGCTCTCCATTTGTCCCACCTGGCGGTCCCTAACTGGGACAAGCCGTTACTTGGAGTCGGACCTGTCACCGATTAGGAATCTCTTCCCTTCTAGGATGTCTCTAGCCGGAAAGCGCAGCTTTTTCATTCGAAGTGGTTGCTGTATGGCCGAGTACGGACGTGAATGGAGATGGTAAACTGCTATGGAGACTTGCTAAAGTCTGCTAGAGCATGCTAGAGCAATCCATGTTTGTTTCGCGAACATTGGGCAACACAAGTCTTGCACATCCCTCATGTTATGTTTCACATGTTTGCCCGTACATGCAGTGACAAAGACATTTAAGCAGGCTCATGTGGAAGCAAGCCGGACACAAATGAACAATTGCTGTTACGGTTGACTCGGGCTGCTTGGTGGTCCGGCCATCGCCTATAGCATCCTTTAACACACCAATGTGTTTGTGGCATTATTATGGGATTCCCCGATGAGGGTTGGGATTGGTTGCATCGAAAAACAACTCCTGGGGGATTGTTGCTTGACTTCCCTAGTGCCCCTTCAACCTCATACGCATCTTAAACACAAAAAGAACTTCTGGGAATGGAACCATCTCCCTTTCACGCCCGATGTGAAATCCCCGGCCTTTGGCCAGGCCTATGTTGGGCTCGAAACGTGGTTTGGCCGTTCGGGGGCCTGTGTTAGGACCGGTTTGTCTTGGGTGTTCACCGAAGGAGTCTCAGACTCGAAGGTTTACTGTAGGTGCTTCAAAGGGGCCACTCACCAGCAGGGGCCGTCTGGGTTGGAATATCCTGGAAAGACCAACAAGTACCACATGTGGATGAAAATCGAGACTAGTACATTGATCAGTGATTCAGCATTTCGTTGTGTAACCTGGTCAAGCTTATTGATGTAAAGACATGAACCGACTTCTTTGCAAGAGGACCAGATGACCAGGCACTTGTTGGACTTCCAATTTCTTGAAGGATTGGTGAAGCAGCTCATGGGAACAGTATTAATCTACAGTAAGAAGTTCGTCTCACCCGGATGCTCCACCACGGGAATTGACCTGCGTTCCTCCAAAAGACACCCTAAACATCCCTCAACCCCAAAGTGTGTGACACTCAGATCGTTCTTTCAATCCATGCTGCGTTCTTCCCACCTCAGGTCGGCAGCAGCCGCACCGGAACTCGTGTGCCGGCCGTTGAAAGCTGGGCATCCCGGAAGGATGGAAAAGAGGGTGAGAGATGGTGAGAGTCGAAAAGAACAAGAACTTGATTAAAACGACTTCCGAGTTAGACCATTTTGCTGGTCTAGAGTCCAGACAATCATGTTTCCAATGCCTGGTGTTTTTTTCAGCAACAGGTGGTGAACATTTGTCACAGTCACAGTTAGTCCATCATTTTGCTGGTGAGTTGGGTGATGGGTCAGGTTCTTTTTCTGACATGATGGCCATGGTGGACCAGAGGGACATACGAGGAAGGAGAGTCAGAATAGTTTCTTGGGAGAGGTCCTGGGTTCTTATCAAACCCAGAACTGAGTACATCAGATAGATATCCGCAGTACAATAGTGACGCCTTTTCTAAACCGAGTCCCCACCATGGCAGGTGAGGGGCACAGTGGCGCAGACGTTTGCAGCACACACTTGTGAATGTGGTGGGTATGGAACGGGTTTTGCCGCAGCCTTGCTTAAACTTGCCGTTTGGGAAAAACACAGCCAGCTCGTCAGGGTGTGTCCAAGAGTAAGTTGGCTTAAGAGTAGTTTGATAGTAGAAACCATGTACTTTCATGCTGAACCTTGGCCTAGGAGAACACACAACTCCTCTACATGATATGATAGAATATGTACAGTAATATATTGGCTGTGTCTAACTTGTCCCGGAACCTCCTGCGCTGCTGTTTGCAACAGCTCGGTGTTCGCATCAGCGCCCGGCTCAGGATCACGTAGCCGAAGCAAAGGCACCCGTTGACGGCCAATGACGGCCATGGACGTGGCAGTCCGTTGAATTCAGTGGGCGAAAAAAAACCTGGAGCTCTTGAAGGTATGGACAAAGGTTTTTAAGACGAAGTCAACATACGGGACGAAGTCCACTCGTGGCTAGACTACTTCAGTCCGACTGGGTCACGCGGAAATCGCTTCTCTTACATATCCGACCGCCATGGAGGACTGACATGCGGGAGTTTGCCAGGCAGGCAGAAGGATCGCATGATCGCCAGGCAAAGAAAAGCGTCGAGACAAGAAGAGCAAGGAGGAGAAGAAAGAGAAGGAGCCAGATGTGAATAGGGTCCTCATGCGTTGAATAAAGAAATCAGACTGCAAAGGACCAAGTAGTCATTGGAATCATTGGAAAAATCCTTTGATCTCTTTTTGATGGATCTGCACGATGCGCTTGATCTTTAGCAACGCATGAGAATGACATGGAGCTGAAGCAAGTCGGGCCCAAGGAGTTTGCTTGGATGGACTCGGAGGAGGAAGATGAGGAGCCCAATGGAGCGCATGTTTTTGCTGGATTTGCTTGAACATATGCCATATGCTTGCTATTGGCTAGGGGAAGTGTTTGTGTCCAGAATTTAGAAGAGGTTTCTAGTTTCTTCCCATTCTGATCCATTCTGTGTGATTGTTGAGTGGGTATGAGGAACAAACATGGATCGTTGCCACAAGTGTGCGTCCGGTCAAGAAGCATTCCTCCTGATTTTCCCGTTGGTTTTCCCAAATCCGCTTGCAGTCTGACTCGGATCGTGTGCAGAGCTGCCGTTTCTAGTGCAGGGCAGCAGTACCGTCCCTTGTGGTCTGGAAAGAGGCAACACAAGACAAGTGACAATAGCTTAGCTTGTTGGAAGGCTCCCGAGAAGTGTTTTTCCACTTCCCAGGTAAATTGGGTTGGTAGGTTTAACAATTATCCGAGAACTATTCATGAATTGATGGAATTTGGCTCATTGCTCGATCAGAATTCCAAAATGGCACCACTTCGGAGGCATCTGCATCAGCCTCCTCCAGTGAGGCGTGGATAGCTTTTGTCGGCGGAGATGAGGTTTGAACTCTCAGTTTGGAGTGCCAAATTCGTTGAACAAACATGGACATGGAAAACCAACTGGTTGTAGAGGAACATGGTTTTTCCAGGGGCCATACCATCCACTTCCATGTTGTTGCAGTTCATAATATGGTAGACATCTGGGAAATAGTTGGAGGTGTGCTATGCCCAGTGGGTGCAGGGCTTGCCCAGTGCAAGCACTGGCACGAACAACGAATGCCCTGTACCATCCTGTACCATGCCTTGTCCGTTTGAACTAGTGGATATTCAATTCCTCAATTGCACTGGCACCCACCTGGAAAGCTAAGCATGCTCCACACGCACGTGGTGGTATTTGTTTTTTTCCTTGCCATAGGGTGACGCGCTTCCCACTCATTCTTGACACTGTTCACTTGCTTGATTTGGATTCAGGAGAAGCCTGTCCCACTGGAAGAGGCTGGAGCGATGCGCAAAGATGGGCGTAATTCAGACACTAGTGATGGTAGAGTGGGGCCTTGCACCTAGATATGTGCAATTCATTGTGATTGTATTAGCACACCCACCAACTGTGTGTGTTATTGTATATTCTGGTGCGTGTGTGAAATGTCATAACAATTCATGACATTAATCAGCCCTCGCTCGCTTGCATGACTGTTCCATGTTTGCAAAGGCCGTTGCTTTTTTCCCACCGGACAGGTGAGGGTTGTTATATTTTATCACAGCTGTTAACTCCACCGCCTTCTCCTCCTTCTCCACCTCCTCCTCCTCCTCCTTCCTTCACTGCAAGCTCCACATTGCAGTGGACACCACCGGACCTGGGCACCACACCTGAACAGCGAGCGCCAGATGGCAGTGGGCACCACCAGACCTGAACCAGATAGAAAGAATGCTAGAACATATGCCAGAAGAATGTCAGAATATATAGTCAGAACATATGTATATATGATATGCCAGATGCAATGTCAGAACACATGCCGAGTAAGAATGTCAGCAAATATACAGGGCCACCAGAAAACGTACCAGTAAAGTAATGTTCTTGACGTGTTTCTGTTGGGGATGGGGTTTCATTGTGTTCCTCGTCTCGTCAGCTGCCAAACATGCTGAGTTTGTCAAGTGTCGCTAAATAGGTCTCAAATGTTCTCAACATTGTCATTGCCCCGTAATCTACTTGACCATTTTTGTAGCTCTTTGCAGACTCCTCGGTCTATTTGTATAGAAACATATAGAAGCAAACAAACAAACAAGCAAACACATACATACATGGCCATATAAGGTCAACAAATTGCACATATGATGCATGCGTCTTGTTGATCCGAACAAAATGATTAACACATTAACATCATTAACAGGCATTTGGGTCCAATCAAGATCCTAAGCCCAGTTCACATATGTTTGAGCACCCGCTCCTCCGAATCTTGGACCAGAGATGACAGATCCATGCAGCACAGCGACGCAGGTCCAGTCTTTGGGTCAGATGGCCAAATTGGCGTTGGGGGCGCCTGGTCAAGTGGTTTTGTTGGGGGAAACAGGGGGCACCTTGTTGACGTGAAATTGGTCGTATCGGATATCTAAAGGAAACCCATGGGTTCCCCCAAGTGACCATGGTGCAGTCATGATGACGCGGTTTCCTTTGCATTTTGCAAAGTGGTGTGTTGATACACCATGTGACAATGTGGGACTATACTGAACACTCTGCCACAAACATGGTCACCAACCATCAATTATACTGTTTGGGTGGGTATTGTGACTGGGATGGTGTGCTGTTTTTTCTCTATCATAATGGTTGGCCCAACTGAGTAACTTTTGGAGGATTCTTCTAGTCACGAACCAACTATTGTGATGCTGTATGTTTCAGATTGGACTACGTGGATTGACCCCCTGTAGAATTTGTTCATCGGGGAAATGCATTTTTTATAGCCGCGTTTTTTGGTGGTAGGCTTCACCTATGTTCTCCCCAGTCTCATAATGTATGTTCCTCGTACATTTGGAACTCATCTAAGAATGGTCACATGGGAACAGTTTACAGTGTTGGAGTCAGATGGAAACCACCAGATTGCATCTAAATCTCACTTACATTCACTTGCCAACTGCCTCAACTGATGACATTTGTTTCGTCACCTGCCAGGTGAGTCTTAAAGGTTTCACTCCCTCATTACCAACTCGCCCTTCAGGGTGGAGATAACTCGAAGTAAAGTATGTTTATCTATATTTTTGCGTGTGTGTTTGTTTCGGGTGTTCTTTGGATTCTGGAAATTCAAACTTCCAAAGAAACACCCGTGTTCGGGTGTGTCAACCCATGAGGCTCTAGGTCGACCAGGTTGTTTCGCCCGTTTCGCAAGGCCAGGACTCCAGAAACGCCTGAAGCGCGGCGACCTGCGCTCCAAAGAGTTGTGCGAGGTGGGAGATGTGGCGCAACGGACGGAATCTGAATCTGACGGTACTCAGTAGACTCGGTACTTAGTCTTGATTATATTCAAACTGTCGGGTTCAAGTGCTACATTCCTAATTATGTGCTTTAATTGATCAAGAGCCTACATTGATTTGAGCCAAAACTCTTAGAGGTGAGTGACCATGGTTCTCTTCCCATCCTTTCCGAGCAGCCAGGTGGTCGCTGCATTGGGGAGATCCAAGTTCTTCGATGGCGCCGCGTGCGCGTTTGTTCGGTGCAGAGCAGTGCAGGGTGCAGGTGTACCGCCGAAAACAAGAGGCAAACCAGCAACACAATCAACTCCAAGGTTTGTCATGGCGGAGTTATGATAGAAATTTGGCCTTGTTGGAATGACATGCAGTGAATACATGTGAATACATATGAATACAACATATACAACCTGCAACTTTCATCTCCAATGTTTAAAGGATGTGTCAAGGCGTAAAACGCTGTTGCACCGTTTAGCACGTTGTTGCTTACGGGTGGCTTCGCTCCACCAAACGAAGGCCAAACGAAGCCTCACTCGCTCAGGAGGCCTCTTCGAGGTCCTGGCCAATGAGCTCCGCCGCGCGTCGCTTGGGCCACGGGACGCGGCAACAGCTGAGTCCGGAAACGACCACGGGGGCCAAGAAGGCATGGTTCAAAACAAGTCCAACTCCTTGCCAAAGAAGACCCTCATATATAGTTTATTTATTTTTATTTATCACTATATCAATACAGTGTAGACTCATGATTGGTAAAGCTCTCCGATTTGGGGTGGAGTGGTCTAAGACAGACCATTTTCCACTGGTTGGCTAGCAGCTGGTTTGTGGGAGACGCTGTTTTGCTAAAGCCGGTTGACGAGATTTGTGTGCAAACTTGTACTATATCTATAATATAGTAGTAGTAGTAACTAGGAACTAGTAGTTACTGTGTCCATAAAATAACATATTTTTGTGCAGCCGTACGTTGAGATTTACAATGTGTGTATTTGTTCAAGCTAAGTTAAATCAATGACCCACCAAACAAGCTTAAAGCACATTACAAGTCAGGGTGGTTTGACGCATCCCTAAGCCTACTAGCATTGATCGTTTTGTTTTTCTTTAATGATTGAAGCCAGTTCCTGCTAGCCATCATTCACCGTTTCTGTGGACCATTTCTTCTTCTTTTTTTTAAATGTTGTTTCTTCTTCTTCCATCCATGACGGTTTGGATCGTCCATCAGGTTCAACCGACGATCACTTGGTTCAGCTCTCAGCTGTCCTGTGCGGCCGCAATCCAGTGCGACGCATCGACCGCCAGACGCGGTGAAAACGGAAAACCATCGACTTTCCGGGTGCGACCTTAGGTCCAATCGGGTTCATCAGTATTTACAGTAGAGAGATTTGCCGTATTTGTTGCATTGTATCAAAGGGTATCCAAGAGCTATAGAAAAGGTGTAATTACAGGGTGAAGAAGTATCGCCATCTAGTTTGGGATAGATTGGATGTTGCAGCCTTAAGAACAATACAAACACATCATTATCATGATTCATAATGATAAGAGCTCTTGCTTGATTGACCTGACCACCTGAGGCCCCAGCGAGGTGATCACAACGATTGCACAGCTTGGGGATCTCAATGCCTACAACCAGAGAGTGTTTGAGGCGGAGCCCACGAGTGACTGTGGTCCAAGGACTGGAGTTGAACTAACCATCCGATGGACCAGGAGAGGGGTAACCACGGAAATGCTATGTATACTTATCAGGCAACCACGGAAATCGTCAGCATGGGGGTCCGAAAACAGCTAAAACAACCATAGACATCGGTGAAGTCATGTCTTTGCGGGCAGAAAGGCCGCGCGCCACGCGTGGCGAAAGGGAAGATCCCCTGGCGCCGTGACGAGGCGGCCTGTGATGCCCTGGAGCGTGAGCTGAACCGCGTACCCGAGGTGCGCGTTGGGAGACGACGAGAAAAACCATGCACTGCACTTGGAGGAGTTCTGAAAGGCTCTGAGACCGAGAATCCGTTCATGACAGCTATGTGTTGTTTGAATTTCCAGGACTCTCCAAGTGTACGATATTCGTTAACAATATTACAGTCAGTATATCAGTGAAATGGCGAATAGACATATATATATATGTATAGAGAGAGATAGAGAGTTAAAGCTCACGGATGTTCCTCATGGAACCATGTTTCTGCTCTCTTGAAAGGAAGCTCTTGTGAACCCCCCTCAAAGGGCGCAAAGGGTTCGTTCAACTTAGGGTGCCCAGTTTGTGGGTCACCCAGACGTCACCAGGTGATTGGTCTTTGTTGGGACTTTCGGGCAGGGACCGGACGGCCATCATGGGCCATCAGGGACTTTCATACCATGCTTCTGATAGTCCTGGTGATTGTCGCCACTGTCATTGATCGAAAGGCTTTGCGACAGAAGCTGGAGAGCACTCTCAAGCAGGCAGAAGTTTAGATGGCCAAGTGGGCCAAACGAAGCGTCAAACTGAGTTGTTTTGGAAGAACTATTGGTCAAAAGATCCCAGGGTCATTAGAAGAATGGCTCCTACTTTCGTGTGCTAAAGCTGCTGCTATGCACTCCCACGTCCAAGGAAGCCCTTCTTGAAAGCATGTCTTTAAGTTGACAGCTTGTAAATATGTTCTAATAAGATTCAGAGCTTCGGGAGCACGGCACGCCATCCCGATTCACCCCTTTTCAGATTCAGGACATCGAAGGGAGCAACTGAAGGGCACCCGCCATACGTCGCAGGTGAAGCACACGCCGTCCGAGGGCTTTCTTCGAGCCTTGAGCCAGAGGAGATGACGTTGATTCGACTTGGTCAAAGCGATATTTGCCTGGAACACCGTGGAACCTTTTTGACCCATAGGAAAAGACCATACTTGTATTTGGGGTGGCTGGTGGTGCAAAATAGAGGTCATATGACGTTTGTTTTGCTTCTGATGATCTCAACTTAACCCAGCAGGGAATGCTGCCGCTAGTGCTTTGCTGGTTTGCTGCTGCAGTTCGGTTTCTCATGGAGCATCATTGCAAAAACAGTCTCACCTCGGTCGGCGTGTTTGCCGCTGATTGCATGACTGCGGCTAAGAATACCTTTCTTTGTGCGTGGCTTCGTAGACATGAGTAGATGATGAGTAGATGTTTGTAAAGAAAGTCCTGTAATTAACCTTCAATGGATGAGGTTGTAAAAGTAGGATCTCAGCAGGCTGCAAAGTTTTTGAGACTGCTTGGATCTCACCGTGCCGTTGGATTGGACGCCCGTCGACTGGTGCATTTCATTGATGGATTTCAGGATGCTGTTCATGTTGCTTCACTGACATTGAGGATGGTTCTGCTATGCCGACCCCCGCTTTAAAAAACCACCCGGTAGACCGTGCCGCTGTGCCGTTTGTGGTTTAGTTTGCGCTGATGGACACATCCTTCACATCAGCGCAGAGTCTTCTCATTTCAATCTGTGCCGGTTCGCATCCAGGCCCGGTGTCACTGTTCCCCGTCTGATGTGCCAACTACTACGGCGCGTACGTACCGAGTAGCTGGCTTTACATGTTTTACGTACCGAGTAGCCTTTTTAGGGGCCCCTATAGATTCTGGACGTATGCCATAGTGTAGAGGAAATGGAGGAAATGGTTCATGGCTTTGCAGCCCGGCCCCGGCGTGTTCGGGACATCGGCGATCACCGGGGGAGGTCACTGGGAAATGTGACCATTTGACGACCATCAATGACCGGATGTTTAATGCAGCCATGCCTCTTTTCAGGCTATTGTGATGTAATTTAATTTGTGATATGTGTGCATTGGCATTCACATACAGATTGCTTGTAGTCAGGGGAAGTCCACGACGTCACAAGCCCATCCCGCCACACCAAAGTGCTCATTCATGCCGATACATGGGTTCAGGCCCCCCGCAATGACAACCTTTTAGGTCATCAAGATCCTTTCGGTAGCAAGGCCTTCTGGCGACATTCTTGGACTTGAAAGAAAACTGGCCTTGCTGGGCTTTTAGAGTATTTGCCCAGCAGCAACCAACGAATTCTTTCTATATGAAATGTATTCATTAAATGTACAATAGTCCAGCGAATTTCCTCTATAAACCATGGTACCCTGGGGGTCTTTTTGGTGCATTCTATAGAGGGTATTCTATAGAGGAAAAATCCCGTGGTTCTCTATAAAATGACCCACCTCGGGGTGGGTCATTTTATAGTAGACCCTGTCTGAGGGCAAGATGAACCCCGGGTGCATGGATTTTATAGAGGCAAGGATTTTGATGATGCTTCTGATACTCGAAGTATGTAACCCTGGGTAGCATGATTGTATAGAGACCATTTTATAGAAGAAGTCTTCATTTTACAGAGAAGCCTGGATGGATGTGAGCAGCGTCAAAAACCTCCCACAAACAGTTTAAGCACACTTGTAAACTCCAACTTGCCAGCAGAAGCCAAAACTGCAGTCGTGGAAGCTTGCGGAAGCCACCGCGTAAGTGTATGGTAAAATTCACCATCGCTGAAGCTTTGCGGAAGTGCGCATGTTATCTTCTTGAACCTTGTTGACAATAACAAATGCCTCTTTACTTTTTAAGGAGGTTTGTCTAACCTAGGAGCACTTTACCGCCGGGGAAGAGGACTTCAACCAAACATGGCCCGCGGAAGTCAACAAATATGTTTTTGGGGAAGGAGGTGAATGATCTGGTGTGCCATGGTGTGTGATTCTATAGAGTGGCTTTTTGCTTTGAGGCATGTGCTTTTTGATGACTGAATGTGTTTGTGGAGTTCCAGGGCAGCGCACACAATATCAGAAGTAGATGTACTGAGCCTATATAAATGAAAGGCCCTGATTCTATAGAAGATAATTTGGAGGTTTCCAGGGGGTTGACTGGGAGGGAGGCCTTCAAGAACCCATAAACACCTGACTCATATGGTGTGTTGCTGAGATTCTTGAGACACTCAGCAATGCGACAAACTCAGGAAACGCGAAGGTAAAAAATCTGCGTCGCAGATTCGGAGATCATCGGAATTTGCCCGTGCATGTCCGTATCGTGGTTGCCGTAGCCCTGGGGTGTCACTAAAGAATGAGGCCACCTACTTGATGTTACCTACTAGATCGACCTGATGCTTCCATTGGGGTGCGTGAATCTATAGAGTACCATTTTTGCAGGTGATTTTATAGTGGGCTAGATTTTAACCATGGGGTGTGTGATTCTATATTCTGCCGCCCTTCTTGCCTACCTTGGGTGCCCAGATTTTATAGTGCCAGTACCCTGGGGGTACCGTTTTATATCTATAAAATGACCACCCTTGGGGGTCAGGGTGAATTCACAGGGGGATAATGTACATGTACTGTAAATATCTGTAAATGAATGTAAATGACCAACCGAAGCAAGTTCATGCCTTGCGGCCTCCTTTGACCTGAACTCAGCACACCAAGCGCCAACAGCACATCGCCGCAGCGCGCTTCGCGCTGACCGCTTCGCGCTTCCACCAGGAGCGGCGGCGGTGACCGGCGACAAGCGTGTCCCATGTTTTGGTGCCTTGACAAATCAGAGCGGTTTTTCGATGTTGGTCGTCGCACAGATCTGTTTGTCGTAGATGGCAGGAGAGTATTTTTAGCAAGTCTAGTTTTGTGTCAGACGCCGAAACCAAGAACGACATGAGAGGCGGATCAACAGAAAGTAATTACATGTAATTACTTATTAACCGTTATACACTGTATTGCTATTGATCAGGAAACTAGGTGAGGACTTATATAAGTTAAATATAGTTAAATTGATTTTTGAACTTGTTTCCTGCCTGTATGTGGAAGTAAAAGCTTTGGTGGGTTCTTTGCTTAAGTTGTAGTTGGAGGGTTGGAGCAAACACTTGTCGTCACCTGGTGTAACTCTCACCTTTGTCCTTCACGTCCTCTATGGAGCATGGTACTGTAACTACTGTATCACTGTTGCTCTGTTTGGATGTACTACACAGACCTAGACACGCACATTTTTCTTGTGGTTGTGTTACCAGCTTCATAATTAATTTTGGTGAAGATGAAAAAAACATTCTGGAATCCACAGTGAGCTCAGTGTATAGATTATTACACATAATGCATAATTGCATATCAGCAGGGGGAGACAGGTAGTTGCTGACTCACTGGCCAGACTACTAGTAGGCCCTACGGACTCCCCAGCCAGACTACGTTTTGGCCTGTTCGCTTCATCGATCCTGAACAGCCATTCAGCTTCGGGTTGACATCTTTGACCATTTGCTCGGTCGAAGATGGCCGACTGCAGGCGTGGCCAGTGCAAGTGGGGACCCAAATGTTTGCGACCTCAGATCGAATCGTCGGCTGAAGATTGAGGAAAAAATATTTTCTCACGCAAAAAACACATTGAGAGGATGGCTTTGGCAAAAACGTCGGTGAGGTAACGGCTGAGAGCGTGTGTTTCACGGTGCCATGTATTGAAGAAGTTTTCTCTTTGGGGTCGTCAAATCGAACTGCAAAAAGGACCTCTTGTAAACAGGGTCCAAAGACTTACTCCTAATTGGCGTGAGGTCTGATCCCGAAGATATGGTGCCATCCATCTCCCTGTACCCATCTCTGAGGCAAGCTGTCGCACGATGACAACTCCTTTGAAAATACCATGGACAGCGGTTCCTGGAAGTCGAACGACTCAGAGTGAAACACTGTGGGCCGATACGTGGTGGCCGACCGATGGGTGGTGAAGGAAGGCACGCCGCCTGGGACGAGTGGTCCTAAGGATGTTCTACGATGTTTTAGGGAGCGTTCAGAGCTTGTAGAAAGACCATGTCCTCCAGCAGTATTACTTTCATGGCTTGGGCAACCCGCAAAAGAAAACGTGAGAAGAGTAGATGCATTGAAGGGGTGACCTGAACACCCTTTTCAGATGCTGGGCAAATGTGTGAGGGAGAGAAACATTGCAGCAAGATGCAGCAAGACAGAAACAGACAGACAGAGAGCAAGCCAGCAAGCCTGCGAAGCCCGTCGCAAGCAGAGGAAGGAAGGAAAGGAAGGGAAAGGAAAGGGAAAGGAAACGGAAAGGAAAGGAAGCGGAAAGGAAAGGAACAAGGAAAGGGAAAGGCAACGGAAAGGAGGGAGGGAGGGAGGGAGGGAGGGCGAGAGGAAGGAAGAAAGGTGGGCTGGATTTAGTAGGGTACTTGGAGCTGATTGTTGGACATCGATATTGAAAAGCACCACCCTATTATTGTTTGGAGTAATATGGAGTATATAATCATTGACATTTGTATGCTAGTTGTTCTAGCCATTGGTTCATATCAAAAGTTTTTACTGTTATCGAAATTGCTTGACGAAGGTGGTGTACCCAGGGAAGGGTTTGCGGATTTGATGTTGTCATATGGCAGTTAGTTGCCTTGAGGAAAACAACATCCACATTCACAAAACCAGCCTGGCCCACAACTTAATATTTTCTAGGGTTTTGCTCTCAGAGATTGTACTCGGCCCGGCTTTATGAATATGCGTGCAACTGAGAGTCTTCCCCACCCAAACCCAGGTGCCAGCGCCACCGATGCCCACCCGATGCCCACCCGTTTTCAGAAACAGTTCTTCGGGAGACGCACTTTCGCGACCAAGGCCGCCCAGCATGAGTGGCGGAAAGAGCGTGGGCTTTAAACAGTCCGCGGACCTCTTCAAGGCTGACAGGCGACCCGGCGGAGACCTCCCCGTGACCGGCGGAGACCGGGCGAAAGAACCGGACGGCCAAACTCGAGACAGCCAGTAATCTGAGAGTCTGAAGAGTTTTTTCGGACAATCTAGTAACAAGGTTCGCTACTAGGGACTCCTGGCATCGCTACTAGGACTAGGAGCAAGGACGCTACTAGTAGCTCCTGGCCTTACTACTAGTAACAAGAAGCTACTAGGACTAGGACAATCCAATATGTCTGAAACGGACAGATATCCTCAATCTGCCAGATCTGACACGTGCAAAGGCTGAGATATCCTCGTTGGTTTTAGATGTTTTTGGCCTCCTCAGACCTCTGATTATGCCACCCCTTCAGATCTGGTTGAAGCAAATGACTGGCAGGGCATTTTGAATGTCGGAACCTATATAACAGCTTGTTTAAACAACACTGACATCGACGTGTTTGGTTCCAACCTGAGCCGCACAGTGCCGTGGTGCAACAACATCATCCAAGTCAAGTGAGAACTAGTAACAAGGACGCTACTAGTAGCTCCTGGCAGTACTACTAGTAACAAGAAGCTACTAGTAACAAAGGGCATCTCTACTAGGAGCAAGGACGCTACTAGTAGCAGCCGCACAGTGCCGTGGTGAACCAGCAAATATCCTGCCGGGAATCAGTCAACAACGTCGAACAAATCAATCCCATACCCAGGTCTCCCTTCAACGCAAAATAAGACGATGTTGTTGCCATTCTTCCACTGCAAGTACCTAGTTCCACCTGATTGTTCTCACGAAAGCATGGCGCCCAAGCGGAGCGGGGATGACTCCTCGGCACCCCGAAAAGTCAATGCACAGGCCATTCTCCTGCGGCCAAGTGACAGCTCACCAGGCGGTTATGACGTGCTCTTGCAACTCCGATCGCAGTGCATGAAGTGTATGCCTGGCTATCTGGCTGCCTTGGGTGGCTGCCGAGACCTGACGGACCGCGACAGTCGTGAGACGGCCATGCGTGAAGTCAAGGAAGAATGTGGGCTGATAGCGAAATCTGTATCAACAGGACCGTCCAAGTTTGCTGAGGGAGAGAAATGCGATTGGTACGTCATTCTCCTGGAAAAACCCGCGTTTGAGAGCAAGGCGAAGAGCCGCAGCGAGTGTGGGGACGTCAAAACTGTGGCATCGCTATTGCCTCCTTCCATGCAAGTGGCCGAGTGCTATGGCCATGTTTGGCTGCCTAGCAGCGATATCCCACAGATCGACTCCAAACTTCCACTGATGGGAGGTTTGCTGAACCGAGTTCAGCAAGCCATCCGTCACCTTCAACCAGACATTGCACAAGAGGTGCCAGAGACTGCGGGCACCAACCGCTTGGATGTGATCAGAGGGGTGGTGGAAGATTTGCTCCATGAACTCACCATGGATGGGAGTTCTTCGCTACCCTTGGAGGTTCTTGAACATTCCAAAAGTCTTAAAGACCTGAGTGCCACCTCTGAGGAGATTCTGGTCGCTTTGAAAAATGCGGACTTCGAGGTGCATGATCAGACCGTCCAAGTCAAAGGAGAGCCGTCCAGCGATCCACCGAAGAATTCGCTGGAGGGTGAGGGCGAGTGAGCCGCGGCCAAGCCCGGCTAGGCCCTGCGCACCATGTCTTTGGATGTGCAGCAAAGCAAAGCCATCCTTTCCAGAACGTGTGAGCTGCGTGAAAAGGGAGATTGGAAATGGTATGTTCAGTTCTTGCATGTTCTTAGCCAAAGGGGGTGTCTCTATATTATGTCTCTTATTTTGAGTATGATGTTGGTCTACGTTTGTCACTGACCGCACCTCTTCTGCTTCAGTCGACCACACACCAGCCGCCTGTCCCGTTTGCGTGTCCTTGCGCAGGTGTGGTGCACTGTGGTGAGAAGCAACGAAAAGAAGGGCTCAGAGCAAAGAAGTGCTTGCAGAGCAGCTGACATGCGAGGCAAAAAGACAAAAACATACAAAAACGAAAGCAACATCTACGTAGTGTTTGACTCGTTGAAGGCCTCACAAAAAGGGACGTCCATCCTTGGCTCAGAGGAGCACTGGCAGATATGGAAGTCTGATTCTTGCATTGTGAGCTTTGGCAGGTCTGGGGGCTGTTTTGGACCAAAAAGTGTTGAAAGAAAACCGCTATTAGGTTGGAGGCCATTGCTACTAGGATGAAGGCAGATCCACCACGCACTGCGACGAAGGGAATTCAGGCCATAAAAAGTAGAACCCGGACTGGCAAGTTGTTCTTCTCCAGGCACGTTGGATTTCGACTTTTCCATCTATACTTACTGTAAACACCAAAGCCAACTGCCTTGCAGCCGATACAGGGGATACAGAAGCTATTGGATCGCGTAAGGTTATTGGCGTTCTCACAACGAGTTCGCCAGGGGTGGGTGATCCCAGAGTTCGCAGAACAACCGACTCAAGCCAGTTTAGGATATATATTGTATGATCTCGTAGGATCTTGGGTAGGTTTTGAACAAATTGCATCCTACTAGTAAGTGAACAGCGTATAGGATGATTGGCAGACTTCAATGCCTTGACTATTTGCACTCTACTGATCAAACGCTGCATTTATCCGACAGGATCTCAGGATACTGCAGCCATGTTGGATTCCTTTGCTTCTCAGGCTGATCAGATGTCCCTTTGCCAAAGTTTGCAACCTTGTCCCGAAGTCAATCTTCGGAGAAGGCATGGACTATGCCAGCAGACCCAAAGACTGCTTTGGGCTCGCTGCTTGCACAGATGCTGGAGCGCAAAAGGATGGTGTGGCTATTAGATTGCACATCAATTCATGTCAGAAGAGTATTTCCATTATCATGACTTGTATATAGAATCCTTTGAATTGGGACAATGAACCATTGGCGGCAATGTTGATGTTTGGAAGGGAACAGTTCGCCATGCATTTGACAGAATTAAGTTATTAATGTCGGATCCGTCGGATCCCATATGCGAGCTAAAACTCGCACAAGACAGCTTAACCCGTTCAAGTGGTGGTCCGGCAAAAGAAAGGGACAAGGAGTCGTCTTGTTCTCAGATGTTCTCACAACACATTTTGTGACATGGGCGACGACCTGCTTTTTTTGGGTTGGCGTCCTGCGAATCCTCTCATCCACTCAGTGATGGCGCATGGAGTTTCGATGGATTCTTCCGGTTTCTGCCGGAGGTCTCGTCACCGACCACCGGGCGACCATGAGTCCGGAGAGCTCAGAACAAGAGTCGGGCGACTTCTGTGAGGACCTGACGACCGGGACTGGGAGTAGAGGGGAAGTGGGGAGAGGGAGGAGGAGGTTTGAGAAACGGTGCCAATTTCCACTTGCATGATTTTTCCAGCGAGTAGCTCTTCTGGGTGATAGTTTCAGATATGTTTGTATATGTTGGTTATATTTTGTTATCAACCTGTACTGTACTTGGGATAATGATTGAACCCATTGACTAGTGTTTTTCAAGTGAGTTGAATCCAATTGGATTCATTCTTGGGTTGAACTTGAGGACAGCCAAGCTAAATATTCAGTGCAGCAGACAGAATACGCTTCTCCTTTTCTCTTATTCTCATCAACAAATATTCAATTACCACAGAACAGCTGATTTCGGGCACAAGGAGAATCTCGGAATCTGACACCCATACAACATCACTGACACAGTGAATTTGCCGATTTGCCTGCCTTGTCTGAGAATTGAGTATTGTCTCTGTCTGTTTGTTTGTGTGGCGTATACGAGATCCCCCTAGAAGTAGCAGTAGAAGTGGCTTCCTTTTCCAATTCTGAAATGGGCTATTTATTTGGGCTCTACTTTGTCCTGATTGGTTTGTGGTTTCTGGGTATGCGTGGCCTGATCGGTGATTGGTGCTCAGGTTTTTCACTTCAAGACTCACTGACTGACTTGGAGAAAAGAAGTGCGCCGCTTCGTGCATTGGAGCCACTGGGAAGCCTGCGGTGCCGGCCAAAACCAGTGACCCTGTTTGAAAAAGGCCTTGTCTTTGAACAAGTGGAAGCCTCAAACTATGCCTACCACGAGTAGAAGGGGACGAACGAACACCCGGCCCATTGGAAGGGCAGCTCCATTCCTTCCTTCCATCCCAAAACACCGTTCGTCTCGGACCCTTTCTTTCTCATTATTTTTTACCTCTTTTTACCTCGCGAATTCTTTAGACCTTTATAGTGACCTTTAGTGACCTGAACGGACCTTTTTCTGTCCTTTCGGCATAAACAGAGGGGGGTGGCCATGGCGGGCCGTGCGATCCAAGGGCCCCTGCGATCCAACGTGAGCGACCGGACTGGGGATCCAAAACGTTTGGCCGTTTCAATGTATACGGTATACGGTCAAGGCCGGCCATTTTTACATTGAAACGGCAAAACGTTCCAGTACGAATCAACATGGTCAATTGACCATGTACATATGATGGCATGTGTTCATGGACGTTCATGGACATACTTCGTTTGTTTTTCTTTTAGAAAGACAATCCATGGTCGGCCCGATCCTTGGACCTGTTCACAAACTGGACCAAGTGGCGAAATCGGTCCATCTTCACTCGTGCTCGTGCTCCCTCCTTTTTGGGAAGATGGAAGGGCCAACCGGACCAACCGGATCAGTCGTCGTATCCGTCGCTGCATCCATCAGGAGTCTCGGCGACGGGCCAGGCGGGGCGACCCGGCGACCAGAGGGTGTCACGTCACGCGCGGTGTTCAGACCACCGGATCGTCCGTGCCGGACATGAGAAGGAAATGGTTATGCGAAAGGGCGGATGTCCTTCCCCTTCCTTTGTGTTTTGCCGACTTGATGAGAGGGCCGACTTGCAGACTTGCAGCGAGGGCGAGGGGTCGATTCCGGCCGTTTCCACTGAAGGAGTTGCGATGTGCACCACTCGCTCTACAACAAAGGCCAGCTGCCCAAGTAAGAGAAGTCGAAGATGCTAGACCTGTCCATACGAGGACATAGAGATAGACAGGAGCGGAGTAGCTGGGTGCAAGAGTTGGAAACGGGCAAAGGCCTTGTTCCAGCTTTATGACACTTGATATAGTGGTGTCCTCTCTTGTATGTGGTTTCAAGCACTGTTGAGTGTCTAGAATGCCTTCCTAGTCCTTTCTATTATGTCAATGTCATTGTAGTTAGTGGGTGCATAGCATGAAGTCTTGATATCTAGCGTGAATCACACGTTTGCAGTCCGGAGGCCCTGCAACATGATAAAGCAGAACAAGAGAGAAAGTGCAATGTGAACAAGTGTGGGAAATTGTTAATCCTTTTGTGTTACCATGTGTTACCTTTATCAAGTGTTCGTTTGGTTAAGGCTGTGTTGGTGAGTACAGATGAGTTTTTGAAAAACTCGAGGATGAACAGACCTTTGTTGCCGAGGCTTAGAACGAATGGCCCGTCATGCAGAGCAGGCGCCATGCGGAACGAATGTGCACTGCAACGTTTCATGCGGAGCAAGGGCCCCTCTATGCCCACACAGGTCATTGATCAGACATATGGGTGTGTAAGTGGGTGTGTATTTTAATTGGGAGACACCCAACCAATGGGTAGACTGGTCTATTTTCCTTCTTCCAGGGTCGAACTGGGACGTCTTCCTATTTTAGTGCACAGCCATATTGTCATTTGGAGACTAGCATGTGAGAGGAGCTGCGGTCTTAGCATGTACCGCCGCTACTTGTGAGATGCGAGGTGCAGCAACAATCCAAAGAACGTTCTGCTCGTCAGGCTGGTTTGTATGCTGTGTTTATATATTAATATACATTATCAACATTTGTTCATGTTTCTTGGAAAGCAAGAAAACAGTTCAAAGCTTTCAAAGGATGAATGATTCAGGTTCTTGGTCGCTCCAGAGAATACTATTGGCAGATGCTGGATCGGCAGATTCGGGTGCGCACCGGCCACTCGGGTGCTCCTTTGAGTATTGTTGCTTCTTGAGCATTGTATCCGGCCCAACGAAGCCCAAAAACCATTTGCAACGTTTTCATGATTCTATCAGCACCTTGCATTTATCAACTTTTTCTTTGGCTTTCCAAGTGGATGACGCATTCTTTACTCTTTCCACAAGCCACAAGCATCTCCAGCTCAAGGGATGCCCACATTCTCATGTTCATTCCAGAGAAAACATTTTGCTTTGCTAAGAGACTCAGCCGCCCATCAACCGCCCAGCCGCCTCTCATGCAACATCGGTGTGGATATGACCCCCACCTGGTTGGACTTGAACCGCGCGGAACCGCGCCGTGCATTTCCTGCTCATTTCGTAGACGTAGAAGGAATGTCAGTGCAGACCAACGTGGGACAGAACGTAGTCACAGATGGGTCATAATCACAGTCCTCGACCGCGTGGGAGATGTCTAGAGACGGAACCTGCACCTAGACAGCCCGCAAGGCCAAACCTGAGAAGTTGCAATGCATAGCATGAGTTGGCTGCACCTTGAGAAACAAACCAATGATAACAATATATATTTAATTCCTCACCTGGTCACCAGCCCTGTGAATGCAAAAGCTATTGGCTTTGTGTCCTACCCACCTCGGGTTTGCTCCAAGGGCTCTATGCCAGTTGGGCTGAATCTATGCAACAAAGCTGTTGCATTATAGAAGTCCAGTCGAACTATATTGTGATCACTTATCACCGTTTCAGTGATGTACTATACTACTTCATCTCTTGCATACCTGACACCTTCCATTGGCCAATTATTGGATCTTCGCTTCTTCCGGTCCATGGTTTTTGCTCACTCTCAGTCCAGTTGCCTACTTCACCCTCCAGTTAATATCCCAAAAAGGACTTCCACCATTCGATGCTCACGACGCCTACACCTGGCCGACAAGCCACTGGGCGCCACGCGTGGCCACGCGCCATGGGCTCCACTCATGGGGTGTGGCCTCGGCCGGCCCTCGCCGGCGGATGCCTACCGCATGGGCGAGGAGCCGCATGACCCGGAGCGCAGCGCTTCTTCGCGGGGCGACGCCTCGCCGTAAAGCTGTGTGTAGCCATGTGTAGCCGTTGATTTAAT